CCATGCCACGCCGTACAATTAGATCATTTTACATCCTCTTTCTCTCTGACACAGTGAAGCTGGGTAACTACAAGGCCTGTGTGTTGCACTTTGAGGGGGCACTGGACCGGGCAAAACTGCTGCAGGATGACTCTGCCAGCGAAGCCATCCAGAAGGTCAACACAGACATTCCTATCCTGCTCTCTCACTCTCTCCCTCATCCCTCTCGCCTGTGGCCTTTTCTATAGTCCCATTCAAACTACACTAAAATTCTAAATCATGCAGGATGCGCAATATGGTTTATATCACAGATGATCACAATTGTTGTTTGTTTGACTAAAGGTATACTCATATGTACTATTGTTCTGCAAATATTTATCCAGTCATTTCAATAGGAATACACGCAACCAGAAATTTTGCATAAGGGTGCTTTACACTATACACACTGTTTTAAAGTAGCTTTACAGAAATTCATGGTGCTAATGTTTATAATACCTTAATATCGTAATTCCTTTTTGTCACATTTAGCAGATTAAAGCTGAGCGAAAATATAGTTTACATTTTGGGCCAATGCAAGTAATCAAGCAGTTGAGATATGCTATTTAGTAAATATCGCTCTACACAAGTATACTGTATGTATGCTGATGAAGTTTGAAATATTTATATTTCCAATTTTATATAAAGAGCTGGACGAAAATATAGTTGCAGTTGTTATTTGCTATATAGTATATATCGCATTACGCGAGTGTACTTGCATACACAAATAAAGTTGGATATAATATACAGTATATATATATATATATACTATTTTATATAAAGAGCTGAGCATTGTCTGCATTGTCACACTGCGTAGCTCTGCCAACAGTGAAAACTCATTGGACCCAAATCCTGCTCCTAGTGCATGTTAAATATTAAATGTGGAGATTGATTGTGGAAGCTAAGACACATATCCAAAGTTCTGTCATGAAACTCTAGATGGCGCAGTCCGATAGGCCTAACTCAGTCGGAAATAATGACATCATTATCACATGGTGCAGCTGATTGGTTCTCTTTTGAGCCAATGAGCTGCTGCTCAACATTAAAATTCTTGGCTGTAGCAGTTGAAGCGTGCTTCAGAAACCCTCCACCTTCCCCAGCTCCACCTGTATAGATCTGCTACGGGGTGATTCATGTATGTTTTATGGGGTTTATTTAATGTATGTTATATGTGCAGCAGCAGTATTTCTTACATGCTCACAGCAGCATGGTTGTGGATGTATTGGCAGTAGCAAGTCTCGGTACTTCTGCCGCAGCTGCAGCGTAGCAGATCTATTCCACCAAGACCAAATACATTAAACATTGTCATGTACATTACCATGCCAAAGCCTCCGAGAGTTGTCATGACAGAACTGTTATTGACCCTGAACTTCCATAAGCAGAGCAATTAGTTACTAAATATTTGTCAATAGTAGTTGTTTTGTCATAATATGTGACCCTGGAGCACAAAACCAGTCTTAAGTTGCTGGGGTATATTTGTAGCAATAGCCAAAAATACATTGTATGGGTCAAAATTATAGATTTTTCTTCAATGCCAAAAACCAATTGGATATTAAGAAAAGATCATGTTCCATGAAGATATTTTGCAAATTTCCTACTGTAAATATATTAAAACCTTTTGATTAGTAATATGTATTGCTAAGAACTTCATTTGGACAACTTTAAAGACGATTTTCTCAATATTTAGATTTTTTTGCACCCTCAGATTCCAAATTTTCAAATATCGGCCAAATATCCTAACAAACCATACATCAATGGAAAGCTTATTTGTTCAGCTTTCAGATGATGTATAAATCTCAATTTCCAAAAATTGACCCTTATGACTGGTTTTGTGGTCCAGGGTCACATATGAACAGATAATTGTAATATTTATATGCATTCATTGATCAGTTTTCTCGTATGTTATCTGATTCTAGACCATCCCATTCTTCTGATATTATATTTCTTCATGATGCTCTGATATTATTTGTTTTACTTTAATCAATTTCTCACCCTGCAGGCTCTTCGTGAAGCAAGACACAGAGTGAATCAGTAAAATGAGAAACCCCTCTGAATAAAATGGCTGCAATCAACTTCCATCTACCTACAAGACAAGTCAGAACTAATGCATCCCTACTAGTAGAATAAAGTTTGCCTGAGGAACTTTGTGCTGGATTGCAGTCAGTGTTATTGGTGAAGGATTAATTTATGACTGCCTTTTCTGTGCTTGTTTCCATATGGGTAAAATTATGTTTTGCATAGTTTTACATAAACTGTCACAGTTTCAGAGGTATAACAAATCATGTGTTATATTTGTGATGCAGTGTCCAAGTGATGTTGCCCAGATACTGTTAATGTTTTCCAATAGACTCACATGCTGTGAACTTCTGTTGACATAGAGAAATACTCTTTTAATGCATAATCCAACCATAAAGGTTTGAATTGAAAATCATTAAAATGAGTTTTGACCTCTAATTTTACACTCCACCTACTGAGTCGATATTGACTTTAAGTGCTCAACAAAACTGAACAGAAGTATAAGCCCTGTCAGAATGCTTAACTACGCATTACTGGCAGTTTGTGTGTGAGAGTATTTTTGTGTGGGTTATATCTGCCATTTATGCGAACACACCACAAATACTTGTGAGAAAGCGGTCACAGCCAACCTGCGTTTGTTCTGAACTCCACTGTGATAAGCTGAAGCAGCTATTCTTAACTGCAGAACCCGTCAGTGCAATGTCAGAAAGCATAACCACTCAGAAATCCTGCATACATTTCACACGTCCCTCACGGATATCAACAAGACACAGCATGCACACTCCAGCTGTTTTGAATTTTGCAGGTATGCTCCTGTATAACTGGCCTGTAAACATGCATTCAAAGAGCATGTGGTGCCTGCAGATCCTTTTTTTATTCTTTACGAACTTCATTTTAAAACACAAACAATGGAATTGAACACTTTGATCATTTTGATAGGCATGTATTCATTATAATATATTCTGACAATAATGATTACAAGGACCGTACTGAGTGCTGGAAATCAAGTCCATACTTGTGTGAGGCATGAAAAGCTTGAGAAATTTGTTTGCCTTATCCAAAGATTGTTGCAATATATATTTTATGCAGTAGATACTATCAAACCTGTAGGCGTAGACAAGTATTCCTTTAATGGCCTACTGCAAATCTGTTCATAATCAGTGACGGTGTATGAAAATGGAAACCGTTTGTGATGTTTGCTCTAAAAGTAGGCCTATTTACAATGATTTTTCTCGTGGGACAATTATTTTACAAGAATGTTCTGAGAAGTTTATTAAATATAAATGGTCATTTTGGGGGGCGAAATCAAAGGTTCGCAAAATTCTGCAATACAAATTCTCTTTTTGCGCCACTATTACGGTTAGCTAAACACCAAATATCTAAATTACTTTTTAATTAAACACATTTTTCATGATATATTTGTGATGTGCAAAACTTTAATAAAGTGATAAATAATAAAAGTACTTTAATGCTTTTTTTTTTATTGACGTGACCGACCGAAACTGATCGCACTAAGAAAGAGCGAGTGCAATACTAATTCCATACACACACACACACACACACACACACACACATATAGATAGATAGATAGAGAGAAAGGTTGGGAGTCAATAAAGGATATATATACTTTATTGACCCCAACCTTTCTTGTGTTTCCATTTATATTATGACCCCCAGTGTTGGGGACTGGAGTAACTTGTTACATGTAACAGATTAACAGAATTACGCAATTTAATTACAAAATAAATGTAACTGTAATCAATTACAGTTACTGAGATTTTTTTTTAAATTAAGTTACAGTTACTTATGAAAATGTTAAAGATCACAAAGGGGGTTACATCTGAATAATTTCATACTCATACAGAATTATTTAAAGCATATGAGACACCAATGTTTCAGGAGTTTAGGACACATGCTTATTCGATAACTGTTTTATTTCCTATTTGGATTTATGTATATACTTTATTTTTTAAGAATTAAACTGTTTTTATCCAAGGCGTTGTCAGATGCCATTGTTTCCTATAGCTATGCAGAGATTTGATTTCCAGAACAGTATCATAGCTATTAAACTATTTCTTATGATTTTAAATCTGTATTTAACCTCAGAAGGATCTCAAAGTAAAAAGAGGTGCTAAAGTCTGATTTTGTGGTGGCTGTGCTAATCATAAAATTAAATGATTATAATCTTATTTCAAGTGAAGAAGGATTTTGAAAGTCTGACAGTAATCAGTGTTGAACACTACTGTAAGGTTAACCCTGCCTTAAATGTTTAAAAAAAAAAAAAAATTAATAAAACATTCGTTAGAATTTTTGGAAAGGTAATCAAATGAAATTAGTTACATTACTTAAATAATTGAAATAGTTACACTACTTATTACATTTTAAATAGGGTAACTTGTAATCTGTAACCTATTGCATTTCCAAAGTGACCCCCAACCTATTCGCACCATCTGCTAACATTAGGGATGTACAGTGATAGCCATTGTTAAGAAATTAAAGTTAAGACTGAACTGTACAGAGTAATTAACCCACGTGATAATCGAGACATAACGATGCACAAAACAACCTGTGTGGCGCGCACACACAGTGAGGCAGCGGGAGCGCGCTCAAAATGTGCCTCTGTTCAGTTTTTTTTTATCTGCCTCTCCCTTCCGCGTCCGCACTCGCGCGCACAGGAGCGTGCTCAAGTGCCAGTGGTTTCCGTTTTGTTTCCTGATTATTGCTAGTGCTCGGCCAGGCGGGGGGTTTTGCGTGGCGCTCTGGAGAAACGTGCAATTCGGCTGTACGGCGCTTTGAACCTTCAGCCTCAGAAAACGGTGACAGCTTTTCACACATCTGCCAACGTTGTAATCAAGTGAGTTGCATTTACACTGTTACTTTGTAATCTTGTAGAACGTATTTGGAACCAGTGAGTTTGATTACGCATATCTAACTTTAAGCGAAAACAAAGATTTTAGATGCAACAAAAAATGGTGCTTCTGGCATGTGCTTCCTTTACCAGCAGCGCTAGGCATTGCCACGCTGATTTGTTTTGTCTGCATGCAGCGTGGCTGGGCACTGCCACTCCCCAAGCCGTGGCTTTGCATTGTTACCGCTAATTAACTGAGCTCGCTCATTTACGAGTCTCTGTAGATTTAGTCATTCACTGAATTAAGTGTAGCCTGCGTTTCTTTTACATCTACGCACAATTGTTCCACCAAGTTGTCTAAATTCGTGTGCGCAACGTCGTTAAATCATGTAACGTTACCGTTGTGTGCGTGTGACCTCTGCTTGATGTGTCGCTACCGTCTGAGTGAATCTACTGGGCGTTTTGGGTTTTCTTTGTCTTCCATAGATCAGGTGGCGTGTCCGAATCTAGTTTGGTCACACAAAGGCTGCGTATCAAAATCCAGTGAGCTGCCTACCTAGACAGCAATTGGGCATCAGACACGCTGAACTGACTCAGAACGTGTTTGCTTCCGAGAAATGCTGCCTAAGTAGGCAGCACACTTGATATTAGACACAGCCACAAAAAAGTGGCCTAAACCCACATCTCTCACCCCAACCCAAAAGGTCCTTCCTCTGTGAAGCTGGAAAATAAAGGAGACGTGTCTTTTTTCCACAAGTCTAATGGGGTGAGCTGGCTATTTTATCTTTTCTGTCTCTTGCTCTCTCTCGCATTATACCACCTGCCCCCATCATTCACCCTGCCACTGTTAATGCTTTACGTTTATGTTCAATTCAGTAGTTAGTAATACATATTTGTTTGTTTGATACAATCCCAAAGGTTCGTCCCAAGAATTTGAATCATTCTCATAAGAGGGAATCCAAAAAGCATGGCCAGAAGATGGGCAAAAATGAAAAAACAGCCAAGGAACTTCTGGGAGAGCTATACAGTGACAGAGAATACTTAGAGAAACTTCTACAAGATGAGGGTGTGTGTTTCAGGTTTTTTTGTACATCTTTTTAAATGTCAGTTTGCATCTGTGAAAGTGCATGTTCTATATAAAGTATCACAATCTGCTCCAATACAGATCTTATAAAAGGTAAGATAAGAACCGGAGAGCGTGTACAAGATCTGATCGTAGGCTGTATCTCATATCTGGACACGCGGACTGCATTCTGGCAGCAGCAGAAGCCCATCTACGCTCGTCAGCGAGACAGAAAACTCATGCAACAGCAGTGGAACCGGGTTCTTCACAAGCCTCCCTCAGACCCCACTCGATACGTCCTCAACAGTCTGGAGGAGATTGACACAGGTGAACCTCTGCAGAGTTTGGGTTGGGTCAAAGTTCACAGTATAGGCTCCTAGCAGGAAAAAACCATGCACTATCGATCAAAAGTTCTGAGGTTAGAATTAGTTTTTTTATATATACTGTATATATTTGAAAAAAATAATTCTCTTATGCTCACCAAGGGCAAGGCTGCATTTATTTGATCAAAAATACAGTAAAAACAGAAATATTATTACACTTTAAAACTACCATTTTCTATTTTAATATATTTAAAAATGTAATTTATTCCTATGATGGCAAAGCTAGATTTTCAGCAGCCATTAATCCAGTCTTTAGTGTCACAAGATCCTTCAGAAATCATTCTAATAGGCTGATTTGGTGCTCAAGAAACAATAACAACGTGGAGGTAAGGGCGGGATTATGATCCTAATTATTCTCTAGGTCACCCCACAATGTTTGTGTAAGCATAACACACCCAGCTGATTATTTAAATATTTAATAGTGCTTGCTGAGGACATTTGAACAAAACCCTAAATCTAATTGCCAAACTTTGGCACATAACTGTGTACGTAATTTGTGCCATGGACATGAGCAACACATCAAATTTTGTGACTTGAGAAAAGAGATGTGCTATTACTTTTCTAAATCTGCGGTCATATTTACCATTGTCTTGCAAATTTTGGTTGTCAAAAAGTTGGTTACGCGGATTCACCACATTGACCAAAAGAAAAGCTGTTTGGTTTAAAAGTTATTTCTTTGTGAGCTGTGACTGTGAGATATCAGGTTGGCGGACAACAAAACAGACTAGAAAATTCCATAGACTTGTATTGAAGGAAAACCCCCATGTCAGAATCAGAATAATGTCTTATCAATGCTCTGGCATTACATGACTTTTGGATGGGCAAGCACTACTCTACATAATTTTCAGAAAATGTTTTGTATATTATAGGAATTTTTGAGTATTGTCTCTTCAATTAACAGCCTTGAGTGTAGGCAATACAGAAAGCGGCCTGAAGAAGGCTCGTGAACTCATGAAGGCGGTGAAGGAATGGTCTGAGGAGGTGCTGCCCAATAAGAGAGAAGTGCTTGGGAACCTCCACAGCTGCATTGGTAGTCATATAATATCAATAGCACAAGAATGAGAAATATGAAACTCTATGTTAAAAGTTTATCTTATATTCTATGTAGGCAATGCACTGATGGATCTTGGTAATATGGACAAGGCTCTGCATCATCATGAGAAGGATCTGGAGCTGGCCAAGAAAGGGTAGGCGACCATGAGAGCAGAAAGCTACCTTTCTGTTTTTCTTGGTTGGTTAATAATCTACAACTCATCCGGTGTGTTTGGTTTGTGCTTTGTTTCGTAGCAACCTGATGGACAGTAAATCCAGGGCTCTGGACAACATTGGCCGTGTGTACGCACGGATTGGCAAATTTCAACAAGCTATAGAAGTGTAAGTGCATTTGCTTTTAATTAATTTTGACTTTGGTGTTGATGTACACAGAGAAATCTATTGAAACGGTCATTTAATTTTGTTCTGTGTGTGTTTGCGTAGCTGGGAGGAGAAGTTGCCTCTAGTATGTGGCGGGTTAGAGAAAGCCTGGTTGTTCCACGAGATTGGCCGCTGTTACCTAGAGCTGAAACGCTACAGCGAAGCACGAGACTATGGCTCCCGCTCACTCATTGCTGCGGATGACATCAGCGATGAAAAATGGCAGCTCAATGCCAGTGTGCTCATGGCGCAGGCAGAATGTGAGTCCAAACTACATTGCCCAGGAAGCTTAATAGACTGTCTGACCATGAATAATCAAATTTCCCACATTGCTTCGAATCAATAGGAGTTAATGTGGTCGTTATGTATATTTGATCCATGCCACGCCGTACAATTAGATCATTTTACATCCTCTTTCTCTCTGACACAGTGAAGCTGGGTAACTACAAGGCCTGTGTGTTGCACTTTGAGGGGGCACTGGACCGGGCAAAACTGCTGCAGGATGACTCTGCCAGCGAAGCCATCCAGAAGGTCAACACAGACATTCCTATCCTGCTCTCTCACTCTCTCCCTCATCCCTCTCGCCTGTGGCCTTTTCTATAGTCCCATTCAAACTACACTAAAATTCTAAATCATGCAGGATGCGCAATATGGTTTATATCACAGATGATCACAATTGTTGTTTGTTTGACTAAAGGTATACTCATATGTACTATTGTTCTGCAAATATTTATCCAGTCATTTCAATAGGAATACACGCAACCAGAAATTTTGCATAAGGGTGCTTTACACTATACACACTGTTTTAAAGTAGCTTTACAGAAATTCATGGTGCTAATGTTTATAATACCTTAATATCGTAATTCCTTTTTGTCACATTTAGCAGATTAAAGCTGAGCGAAAATATAGTTTACATTTTGGGCCAATGCAAGTAATCAAGCAGTTGAGATATGCTATTTAGTAAATATCGCTCTACACAAGTATACTGTATGTATGCTGATGAAGTTTGAAATATTTATATTTCCAATTTTATATAAAGAGCTGGACGAAAATATAGTTGCAGTTGTTATTTGCTATATAGTATATATCGCATTACGCGAGTGTACTTGCATACACAAATAAAGTTGGATATAATATACAGTATATATATATATATATACTATTTTATATAAAGAGCTGAGCATTGTCTGCATTGTCACACTGCGTAGCTCTGCCAACAGTGAAAACTCATTGGACCCAAATCCTGCTCCTAGTGCATGTTAAATATTAAATGTGGAGATTGATTGTGGAAGCTAAGACACATATCCAAAGTTCTGTCATGAAACTCTAGATGGCGCAGTCCGATAGGCCTAACTCAGTCGGAAATAATGACATCATTATCACATGGTGCAGCTGATTGGTTCTCTTTTGAGCCAATGAGCTGCTGCTCAACATTAAAATTCTTGGCTGTAGCAGTTGAAGCGTGCTTCAGAAACCCTCCACCTTCCCCAGCTCCACCTGTATAGATCTGCTACGGGGTGATTCATGTATGTTTTATGGGGTTTATTTAATGTATGTTATATGTGCAGCAGCAGTATTTCTTACATGCTCACAGCAGCATGGTTGTGGATGTATTGGCAGTAGCAAGTCTCGGTACTTCTGCCGCAGCTGCAGCGTAGCAGATCTATTCCACCAAGACCAAATACATTAAACATTGTCATGTACATTACCATGCCAAAGCCTCCGAGAGTTGTCATGACAGAACTGTTATTGACCCTGAACTTCCATAAGCAGAGCAATTAGTTACTAAATATTTGTCAATAGTAGTTGTTTTGTCATAATATGTGACCCTGGAGCACAAAACCAGTCTTAAGTTGCTGGGGTATATTTGTAGCAATAGCCAAAAATACATTGTATGGGTCAAAATTATAGATTTTTCTTCAATGCCAAAAACCAATTGGATATTAAGAAAAGATCATGTTCCATGAAGATATTTTGCAAATTTCCTACTGTAAATATATTAAAACCTTTTGATTAGTAATATGTATTGCTAAGAACTTCATTTGGACAACTTTAAAGACGATTTTCTCAATATTTAGATTTTTTTGCACCCTCAGATTCCAGATTTTCAAATATCGGCCAAATATCCTAACAAACCATACATCAATGGAAAGCTTATTTGTTCAGCTTTCAGATGATGTATAAATCTCAATTTCCAAAAATTGACCCTTATGACTGGTTTTGTGGTCCAGGGTCACATATGAACAGATAATTGTAATATTTATATGCATTCATTGATCAGTTTTCTCGTATGTTATCTGATTCTAGACCATCCCATTCTTCTGATATTATATTTCTTCATGATGCTCTGATATTATTTGTTTTACTTTAATCAATTTCTCACCCTGCAGGCTCTTCGTGAAGCAAGACACAGAGTGAATCAGTAAAATGAGAAACCCCTCTGAATAAAATGGCTGCAATCAACTTCCATCTACCTACAAGACAAGTCAGAACTAATGCATCCCTACTAGTAGAATAAAGTTTGCCTGAGGAACTTTGTGCTGGATTGCAGTCAGTGTTATTGGTGAAGGATTAATTTATGACTGCCTTTTCTGTGCTTGTTTCCATATGGGTAAAATTATGTTTTGCATAGTTTTACATAAACTGTCACAGTTTCAGAGGTATAACAAATCATGTGTTATATTTGTGATGCAGTGTCCAAGTGATGTTGCCCAGATACTGTTAATGTTTTCCAATAGACTCACATGCTGTGAACTTCTGTTGACATAGAGAAATACTCTTTTAATGCATAATCCAACCATAAAGGTTTGAATTGAAAATCATTAAAATGAGTTTTGACCTCTAATTTTACACTCCACCTACTGAGTCGATATTGACTTTAAGTGCTCAACAAAACTGAACAGAAGTATAAGCCCTGTCAGAATGCTTAACTACGCATTACTGGCAGTTTGTGTGTGAGAGTATTTTTGTGTGGGTTATATCTGCCATTTATGCGAACACACCACAAATACTTGTGAGAAAGCGGTCACAGCCAACCTGCGTTTGTTCTGAACTCCACTGTGATAAGCTGAAGCAGCTATTCTTAACTGCAGAACCCGTCAGTGCAATGTCAGAAAGCATAACCACTCAGAAATCCTGCATACATTTCACACGTCCCTCACGGATATCAACAAGACACAGCATGCACACTCCAGCTGTTTTGAATTTTGCAGGTATGCTCCTGTATAACTGGCCTGTAAACATGCATTCAAAGAGCATGTGGTGCCTGCAGATCCTTTTTTTATTCTTTACGAACTTCATTTTAAAACACAAACAATGGAATTGAACACTTTGATCATTTTGATAGGCATGTATTCATTATAATATATTCTGACAATAATGATTACAAGGACCGTACTGAGTGCTGGAAATCAAGTCCATACTTGTGTGAGGCATGAAAAGCTTGAGAAATTTGTTTGCCTTATCCAAAGATTGTTGCAATATATATTTTATGCAGTAGATACTATCAAACCTGTAGGCGTAGACAAGTATTCCTTTAATGGCCTACTGCAAATCTGTTCATAATCAGTGACGGTGTATGAAAATGGAAACCGTTTGTGATGTTTGCTCTAAAAGTAGGCCTATTTACAATGATTTTTCTCGTGGGACAATTATTTTACAAGAATGTTCTGAGAAGTTTATTAAATATAAATGGTCATTTTGGGGGGCGAAATCAAAGGTTCGCAAAATTCTGCAATACAAATTCTCTTTTTGCGCCACTATTACGGTTAGCTAAACACCAAATATCTAAATTACTTTTTAATTAAACACATTTTTCATGATATATTTGTGATGTGCAAAACTTTAATAAAGTGATAAATAATAAAAGTACTTTAATGCTTTTTTTTTTATTGACGTGACCGACCGAAACTGATCGCACTAAGAAAGAGCGAGTGCAATACTATTTCCATACACACACACACACACACACACACACATATAGATAGATAGATAGAGAGAAAGGTTGGGAGTCAATAAAGGATATATATACTTTATTGACCCCAACCTTTCTTGTGTTTCCATTTATATTATGACCCCCAGTGTTGGGGACTGGAGTAACTTGTTACATGTAACAGATTAACAGAATTACGCAATTTAATTACAAAATAAATGTAACTGTAATCAATTACAGTTACTGAGATTTTTTTTTAAATTAAGTTACAGTTACTTATGAAAATGTTAAAGATCACAAAGGGGGTTACATCTGAATAATTTCATACTCATACAGAATTATTTAAAGCATATGAGACACCAATGTTTCAGGAGTTTAGGACACATGCTTATTCGATAACTGTTTTATTTCCTATTTGGATTTATGTATATACTTTATTTTTTAAGAATTAAACTGTTTTTATCCAAGGCGTTGTCAGATGCCATTGTTTCCTATAGCTATGCAGAGATTTGATTTCCAGAACAGTATCATAGCTATTAAACTATTTCTTATGATTTTAAATCTGTATTTAACCTCAGAAGGATCTCAAAGTAAAAAGAGGTGCTAAAGTCTGATTTTGTGGTGGCTGTGCTAATCATAAAATTAAATGATTATAATCTTATTTCAAGTGAAGAAGGATTTTGAAAGTCTGACAGTAATCAGTGTTGAACACTACTGTAAGGTTAACCCTGCCTTAAATGTTTAAAAAAAAAAAAAAATTAATAAAACATTCGTTAGAATTTTTGGAAAGGTAATCAAATGAAATTAGTTACATTACTTAAATAATTGAAATAGTTACACTACTTATTACATTTTAAATAGGGTAACTTGTAATCTGTAACCTATTGCATTTCCAAAGTGACCCCCAACCTATTCGCACCATCTGCTAACATTAGGGATGTACAGTGATAGCCATTGTTAAGAAATTAAAGTTAAGACTGAACTGTACAGAGTAATTAAACCACGTGATAATCGAGACATAATGATGCACAAAACAACCTGTGTGGCGTGCACACACAGTGAGGCAGCGGGAGCGCGCTCAAAATGTGCCTCTGTTCAGTTTTTTTTTATCTGCCTCTCCCTTCCGCGTCCGCACTCGCGCGCACAGGAGCGTGCTCAAGTGCCATTGGTTTCCGTTTTGTTTCCTGATTATTGCTAGTGCTCGGCCAGGCGGGGGGTTTTGCGTGGCGCTCTGGAGAAACGTGCAATTCGGCTGTACGGCGCTTTGAACCTTCAGCCTCAGAAAACGGTGACAGCTTTTCACACATCTGCCAACGTTGTAATCAAGTGAGTTGCATTTACACTGTTACTTTGTAATCTTGTAGAACGTATTTGGAACCAGTGAGTTTGATTACGCATATCTAACTTTAAGCGAAAACAAAGATTTTAGATGCAACAAAAAATGGTGCTTCTGGCATGTGCTTCCTTTACCAGCAGCGCTAGGCATTGCCACGCTGATTTGTTTTGTCTGCATGCAGCGTGGCTGGGCACTGCCACTCCCCAAGCCGTGGCTTTGCATTGTTACCGCTAATTAACTGAGCTCGCTCATTTACGAGTCTCTGTAGATTTAGTCATTCACTGAATTAAGTGTAGCCTGCGTTTCTTTTACATCTACGCACAATTGTTCCACCAAGTTGTCTAAATTCGTGTGCGCAACGTCGTTAAATCATGTAACGTTACCGTTGTGTGCGTGTGACCTCTGCTTGATGTGTCGCTACCGTCTGAGTGAATCTACTGGGCGTTTTGGGTTTTCTTTGTCTTCCATAGATCAGGTGGCGTGTCCGAATCTAGTTTGGTCACACAAAGGCTGCGTATCAAAATCCAGTGAGCTGCCTACCTAGACAGCAATTGGGCATCAGACACGCTGAACTGACTCAGAACGTGTTTGCTTCCGAGAAATGCTGCCTAAGCAGGCAGCACACTTGATATTAGACACAGCCACAAAAAAGTGGCCTAATGATGTGCAGGTGTTGGTGTCTCACGGCTCGCTGCTGGGCTCCTGTATAACAGGCTTATCACACACTTTCATCAGAACCTGGGCCGTGTCCAGGGCGAAATTAAAGCTAGTTCGTGTAAAACCCGGTCACTGCATAGAGAAGTTAACATTTGGTGGCAGTAAGAGGTGCTTTTTGAACCCGTCATCAGCTGTGAATTGTGTCGCTTGGCTGATATCAAGGTTTGTCATTTGATTAAGCTGTAAAGATTTGCATTGCTCTATAAAATGGGGAACATGTTTTTTGGTCAGAAGGTGATGATGACAACTGGTTTCACAACGAAAGCAAGTCATTTGACATCTGATGACTCTAACAACCTAATATCTGAGCTACAGCTGTACTTCTGCTTATTAATCTGAAACCCGACAGAAGACAGCGATGAGACGGTGCAAAGTATCCTTTAAAACCAAAGACTTCCAGCATACAGAGCTCCTATGGTTTGCTTCAGGCCTCCGTAAAAGAGAAAAAGATGGTAGACAGAGAAATATGGATAAAAAGCGAAGGAGTAATGTGTAGGCCAGAAAAAAAGCAGCCCTTGCATTGGCAGTCCAATGCCTACTCAGATTTCACTAGAAATGCACAGTGGTGTGTTATTTCATATGAATCTGAATGTGCGTTGGTCTAAACGGACCAGTGGTTTTCAGATTTGCTCAGAAGGACGAGAGCTGGACGCTGTACAGAGGTTGCAGAACTAAAATATGCAGTTGTGGGTAGTAAAATTGAAGTTTCCAAGAGCCTACATTCTGTGAAGTGTCTGAAGAAGTGGTCGTTTTGACTGCCCATGTTCATGTGGATAGTTTGTTAATCTTTACCAAGCGTTCCTGGAGCTGCCTGTCATTTAACCCCTTGTTCACATTTGCATCTCATGTAACTCATCTCACGTACAGAGTAATCGCTTGAAAAAATGCGTTCACACTCACTCTTTTGTTTATCAGAATCAGCCTGCTGTGTAGCAATGGACGCTGAACAGAATCAGGAAGTTCCAGAAGCTGTTGCTGAGACACAGGAAGTGGCGATGAAACAAGAGGAGAAATCGGAGCTTAAGTCCGAAGAGGTGGCACCTTCAGAACCCGCAGAACCTCCAAAAGCAGCCCCTGAACCCGAGAAGACCCCAGAGATGGAGCATTCTGCTGGGGGATTGCCAGAAAAGGAGAAAGCGAAGGACTCTGAAGCGCCTCCTGCCAAACCGTCTGAACTCGAGGTGGTGCTGGAAAAATCTCCTGAGGAAACCCCGGCTGCCGAGTCTTCTGAGAAATCCCCTGAGCCAGAACAGCAGAAGTCTGAGGAGCCAAGTCAAGTGAATTCTGAGCCTGAGAAGCAGGAGGAAGAAGCTGTGAAAGAGGTGGAGCCTAAGAAAGAGGCCGAGTCCAAACCCACTGCTGTGAATGAAGCCAAGCCCGAAGAAACAGAAGGAGGAGAGGATAAGGTACAACCAGAGGCTGATGGTGTTCAAGCTGAGCCTCCGAAAGAGGCAGAGACCAAGCAGAAAGAGCCAGAGCTGCCTTTGTTCTTTGGCTGGTTCCTGCTTCCAGAGGAAGAGGAGCGAATTAAGTGTGCAACCATGGACTTTCTCAAGACGCTGGACACTTTGGAGGCCTTCAAAGAACACATCAGTGAATGTGAGTGGACTGTGTAAACCCACACACTTGTGGTTCTCCTCAGAGTTGGTGTGTTTGTGGTGCTGATTTTGATCTGTTTTTTTCCAGTTACTGGTGAGGTGGCGAAAGAAGTGGATCTTGAGCAGTATTTCCAGAACCCATTGCAACTCCACTGCACTACGAAGTTCTGTGATTATGGGAAAGCAGAGGGGGCTAAAGAGTATGCAGAGCTACAGGTTAGTTTTCCAAACAGGCCATTTTGTTAGATGTGTCACATCATGTAGTGCAAATGTAAGTGCCCTGATGGGTTTTTGGAATAAGATCCCTGCTTGATTATAATATTATTGCAGCCAATAACTAATATGTTGGCAAAATTAACTCTTAATTAATATTAACAACTTATCTTGTTTTCCAGTATGAAATATTACACATGTAATATTAAAGTTAAAAATCAGTCATCATAACATTGACGGGGAAGCCCCTTTACATTATCAGCTTACATTATCAGCAAATTCAGACCAATACTGATAATTAAATATTACTAATATCTGCCAGTACTTGTATGGTATATAATGCGTCACGTTCCCTGAAATTTTGTTAGTGTATGCTTTGCAAATTTGCCATATAAGTGTCAGAAGCGTGATATATATTGAACACTTTACAATTGAAATAAATTCATGAGAGATCATGAAAGAATTTTTTTTATATATATATA